CCATATATTCTTCCAGAACATTTTGATAATATTAGAATATCGTTGGCTTTAACCTCTAAAAAAGTGATAAGCAATTTTTTTTTTAAATTTTGCGGGTACCTTTGGAAAGGGTACCTTCTATACTTTTAGAATATAACCCTCTCAATTTTTGTAATGTCTATGGAGTTAATTATGGCTTCTTAAAGTTCGATGTGTCACGAGTCGCTTTTTCGGCTGAAACGAGTTGAAGAAAAATTAAATTCAACTAATCGTTGATCATTTCCGATCATGTTTCAGATTTTTGCTTTTTAATTTTAAAATTGTCTCTCGTTCTTCTTTTATAATAGCATCAGACTTGATCAAGCTGTTATAAAATTTGTGTATAGATTTGGATAGTGAGCTGACAAATAGAATTGCTGATTTTTTAATTTACGAAGAACAAATTTATGTATGTAGTGGACTAAATTGGGAGCAAATAATTAAATTACGTGAAATGATGACTTCTTTACGTTCTATCAATCGTTGGACAATCGCTTCTATTATATTTGATTATATTTCGGCAATTCGAATGAAATGATACTATTCTTGGACTCTATAGACATCAACAAGCTTCTGCATTTTCATAGTCTATACTCAATGCTTTTGAAATAGATTTCTTCCCTTCACGTTTCGGCTTGAAAGCCTCAAATCGTGATTAAATAATTCGTGATTGTACGACACCTCTTTTGAATAAATTTGATAACGTGAGTGACGATAACCTTGCCCTAGTTGTTGACGGAACTTATATAAAACATCAAAAAAGCTGTAATAATAGTATCAAAGAAAATCATATTCTGGGCATAAAAAAGCTCCTTTTCGTAAACTGTTCACGATTTGCACTACAGACGGTTTCTTTGTAGATGTGTTAGGACCTTTCTATGCTACAAAAAAAGATGCTACAATATTGGAGACTATTTTAGATGACGCTGAAGGTGATTTGAAGAAACTTTTGTAGAAAGAAAATGACGTTTTTGTACTGGATCACGGAATTTGTTACATTAAAGACAGGTTAGAAAGATTGGAAGAAGTTGATATAAATCGTATTCTGATGCCGTCGTTGCAAAATACAAATGAAAAGCAATTGACAGTAAAAGAAGCAAATGAATCACGTCATGTTATTATGTTTTGATGGATTTTAGAAGCTGTGCATAGCAGTGTAGCTCAAAAGTATACGTTTTTATCATTAGCTAGATAATCTAAGATAAAGATCAAAAAAAGCTAGCTTATACTGCAAAATTGTCTGCATTTTGTTTATAAATCAATGAATTTGGTGAACGATTACTATCAAGAGCTTCTTTAGATGAAGACATAATAGATTATATTCTTTCAAAAATAATAATGAAAATAGTTTGGTGGTAGAGGCACAAATTGCATATTGGGCTTGAAGAAACAGTTTGTTACAAAAATTTAAATTCTTGAATGTACTTTATTTTCCTGAAATGACAGAATGTGATCTGATCAAGTTTTTCACAAAAAACTTATCAATTGCAACAAACAGTATCTCATTTTGGAGAAATAATGAATGATGATAATGAGATAAATTTAAAGCTTTATAAAGCATCCACGAATATTATCAAAGTTAAAGTGAAATCTAGATATGTTTCTCAAACAACGCATACGTACTACATTGACTGTAAACCAAATACAATTGACAGTGTTGGAATTTTACACCATTACCGTAAATGTTGCAATGGTATGCAAATTATTGATTGTTGCTCTCATGTTGCCGCGGTAATCTACTATCTTTAGCATGTAATATACCTGTCAAAACTTTTAAGACCTGCAGAAATACCGACAAAGATTTACGAACAAGAGCAAATAACTTCTGTCATCCAAAACGATAGCGACGAAGATTAATTTTAAATTGATAGGTAACATTAACTCATTAAGTGGCAAACGTCCATGGTTGCAATACTACGATTTGACATTATGTCATTCGTCCAATTTTCAATGGATTTTGATGAAATTTAGTTTCCTGATGTTTTCGAGTGTGTTCTTTCTAAAAATCACCAAATTTTCTTCAAAAAATGTATAGAAAAAATATATTGCCAATTATTTTGGAAAAAATCGAAATTTTTTCAATTTTTTTTTTAATTTTCACCTTGCCAAAAAGAAAGCGACCTTAAAGTATACCCCCTGAACAATTCTTTTCATTACAAGAGATAATAATCTTTCAACCGCAATTAAATTTTTGATTGATGTTGATTAGAAAACAAATTATGGCGGTTTTTGTATCGTAGTGTAATATAAAATTCATGATTTTTTTCATTTTATGACTTTTTACTCAAAAAATATCATCTATTGGAAAAACTTTTATAAAATAAAAAGTGCCTAATATTAATCAAGGAAGACGTGATAATTTTTCCGGATCGATTTGGAAAATTTTGGGAAATTTATAAATTTGAATTTTCCAAAGAATTAAAAAATAATTCAATTTTTTTCTGAAAATGTTTTTTCCACTCCAAAGTAAATTTATGTTTGGTAGGTATTTGAATATTACTGAAAATGCCATTTAAATACAATTTTTTGTAAAGTTTAGCGAGTTTTTTTACCTAGATATGTTTTTAAATCGAAAAATCTTGAGTCGAATATTTTTTTTAAATTAAAAACTGAAATTTATTATAATTTTTTAAAAGTACCATATATAATTTGAGTTGGTTATATTCAATAAGTAATATTAAAGTAAACAAATTTATTTCAAAAATAAACAATTTTAAAACTTTTTTGCTCAAAATTTATAAAAAATACTTATTGAAAAAATATATAACAGTTTACTTAGGTTTAGCTAAAAACATTTTCAAAAAGAAAATGAATTATTTTTGAATTTTTCGGAAAATACAAATTTTCAAATTTCTTGAAATTTTCCATGTTGATCTGAAACAATTTATACGTGTTTCTTGATCAATTTTGAGCACTTTTCGATCTATAAAATTTTTTCTACTAGTTAATATGTTTTGAGCAAAAAATCATGAATTTTTATATTACACAACGATAGAAAAACCGACATTTTTTTTTCTACATGATTCCCTTGAACTGGATTTTTCAAAATTACAGACCAATTCTCAGCAAAATCTATATGCATCAGCAAATGTTGATAATTTAACGTCACCCTTTCTTTCTCAGCTTTGATTTCCATTCGCTGTACCTATGTATTTATCGCGTTTGACTTGAAAATGTAAAACTTTTTTTTTTAATTTTTTTAAGCGATATAACGAAAAAACAGCAAATTTTGATCGAATGGATTTGAAGGTATTGGTACTAAGAATATATAAAAAAAATTTGAGCGCAAAAAATTATGGCCTTTTTGAGATACAATAATTTTTTCTCCAAGATGCACTTTTTCGAAAACATGCATTTTCTCCCGAAAAATGCATACATTCATATTTTTGATAAATTAGACTTGAAGAACTTCGTTTCTACTATAGATGACATAAAAATTATTTAATTGTATCGAAAAATAAAAAAAATATTGAGGAAACCAAATTTAATTGGAAAAATTTTCTCAATTTTCCCTTTTCAGCAGTGCATTTTCCGATTGCATTATTGACGGAACTATGCATCTGAGAGAAAAAAGAAAAAATACGGGTCCTCTTATTTTTGACCTAGAACAATAAAAAAATACTTTGGAGTAGCTTGGTGACAGGTGTGTGGGGAGCTCTGCATGATCTGAGATGGAATTGGCCACCTGTGTAATCATTATTCAGCTGCTTTGTTTAGTGCGTGTGGAAAGAAATTTGTATATCAGAACTATCAGATTTTTCCAAATTAACGGGTGAAAACATAGTTACAAGATAAAATAAAAAAGGAAATTATTTTTGTCATTTGTGTGAGCTAGCAAGAAATTCAAAATACAAACAGAAAAGAAACAAGGAGGTGAGAGAAGTTGAGCTGACTGTTGAATGTTAAACTGCACGGCAATCGTAATACAAATATCTATTTGTTATGGACTTTTGTAATGTTATATTTTGATTACATTTGCAATATTATATTTCTTTTCACGTAAAAAACTCAAGTCACTTCCCAATATTGTAACGATTGTGTTGTTGAAGTTCAAAGAGAAAGACAGACAAGTTACTGCATTGATTCTGATCAAGTAGAAAATTTTACATTGTATATTGAACAAAATGTATGCAAAACAGATGGCTCCCATTATCCTAAACAACATTGGCCTAAACAATTTTTTTTAATAACTCACAACTTACTGAGATTTTCCGGTAGAACGATTAAAATAGGACACCCTATAAATATTTATATTAATAAATAAATTTGTTTAATTTTTGTATTATTTATTACATTTATAGGTAGAATTGTCTAGATTCACCATAATAAATACATTTTTTATAAATGATGGTCGGCTGTTTCGTAAAAAGCCATTACTGATTCTAAATCACTTGTAACGCTTTATGACGTAATATGTTTTATCATCGGCATAGCTTATTTACTAATGACATCACCATTATTTATAAAAAATTTATTTCGTCAAGCTCTATTTTCAACCCCTTAATGTTAATATTCAACCACTTAATGTTAATATAGCTAAAAAAAATATGCCTTCATCCAATAAGAAACCGTAAGAAGCCGAAATAGAAAAAATAAAAATTTACCATTTCAAACTCCTTTTTTCAATACTTTTAGGAGGTTGCGGTACAAAAATAACGATAGGAATGGAATCAACGTATCCAAAACCTCCTAGAGACTATATTTCTATTCATTTAAAAGTAGCAGTTGCCACTACCAATTTGGTATGAAAAGTTAAAAAAGCTTTGCCAGTTACGGGGTTCAACTGAACAGGGAACGAATTCGATATAATAATGTCTTTGAGGATTTGCCTTTCTTTTAACCACCTTAAAAATAGTAATAGTAATAATAATAATAATAATAATAATAATTATTATTATTATTATTATAATTATAATAATAAAAATAATAATGATAAGAACGATAATATGAATAATAACTACGATATTTATCTTGTTATTTAGGTTATGAGTCAAGAAGTTAAAAAAGAAAATCCTTTACAGTTCAAGTTCCGAGCTAAATTTTATCCAGAAGATGTTGCAGAGGAACTTATCCAGGACATTACGTTGCGGTTGTTTTATTTGCAGGTTTTTAAATTGTGTTATTTATAGATCTGTAAAAATTAAAAAAATATCTATGTATATGTAACTTTTTGTTACGTATATATACATAATATTCATAAAAAAGTATATGTTGGCCTGGTTTTTAGTTAATAACTTGAGCATAAAAAACATCCAATGGTGGAACTTGCATGGTATACAAGGAAAGTACTCAGCGTAAGCTTGCTTCCGACTTATTAAGATTAGTAGAACAAATCTGAGAGAGAGAGAGAGAGAGAGAGAGAGAGAGAGAGAGAGAGAGAGAGAGAGAGAGAGAGAGAGAGAGAGAGAGAGAGAGTGAGTCTGCCTGCTCACTTGCTTGTTACACGTCGCCAAGATTGTTCAAAAGGGAAAGAAACCTCCACTGCTCAATGCTCCAATAAAAGATGTTTACGTGCGCATTGACAGCACGTACCTCGCCGGTTTCCCCATACTCACCGGTGTCGGAGATGATACTGGCTGCAGTCAACCTTGTCACAACATACGTTCGAACGAAATGACCAAACTCGCGCACGCCCCGTACACTTGAAACGAAAAAAAGTCTTCGATAAGATATGATCGAAAAACCAAAAAAATCGCCGGGAAACGAAAGATAAAACGGGTATAAGTAGCTTACGAAGCAATACCCTGCTTCAACTACCGATTCCTTCTCAATCGGCTGCGCGCAACTCGTGTATCTCTGTCTGTCTGTCTGTTTCTTTCTCTCTCTTTTTCTTCAATTTTCGCTCTTCATCGTTCTATTGTTTTACTTCATTCCGTTACCCCTTTCGGCTTCACTAATAGCCTTGCGTTGATTCTCAAACGGAAAGAAAAGACATGAGCGGAAGGGAATGTCGATGGAGGTATGTAGGGAGGAATGTTCAATTTTCAATTGAGATAGAAAGTACGTTTTCTTAAGTGTGCGAAAAATATTTTTTATCTGTATATGTGTGTTTTTATTATGTGTGTATGTGTGTTTCTATTTAACTACATGCTCATATGAGTAACGTGTGAGCTCATACATTTGTTACGTCTTACGACGCATCCTTTTTGTAACAACTGCACACTCGTGAAATTCAAAGCTTCTAAAACTATTCGCACGTCAGCAGAAAGCTGACGAAACGCGAGGTAAATGACACTCCGAAATAAAGTTGTTACACCTTGCGACACATCCTCTTTTGTAACAAATGCATATTCAGGAAATTCAAAACTGCTAAAATATTCACACGTCAGCAGAAAGCTGACAAAACGCAAAACAAATAGCACTCCGAAATAAAGCCACCGAGCACAAGAATGTATATTCAGCAAAAAACAAAATGTCACAATTCAATACTGACCTGAAAATTAACATATAAAAAGCAATGAACATCATTACGAGACAGTTGATCAGTAGTCAGTCAGTCAATAAGTACCTGTGAGACTCAACTCCGTACACACTGGTCCGACAATTGGTGATCATTTTACTTAATAAACTCACGACTGTTACAAAGTAATATCGTGCAAGTATTATTCAACAACCTAACCTATTCAATTCAACAAGCAGTTAGAGCCTGCTACACTCATACAATCCAACAAGCAGTTAGAGCCTGCTACATTTTATCAACAATTAAAAGCTACAATTATCAAGGTAGTACAATCATCAGACATACATTTCTACATATATTTATTATAAGTGAGACATATCCGACCACTAGTCAACATATTGGAACGTCTCATTCATTAGCTATTCGTAGTTGATGCACGAGACGTAACACATTGTTACACTGCTGAGCGCTATTCGGCAATGACGATATCTCTTTAACCAACATTCGTTACACCCAGACACCTTTGAATAATAAAATAATAGTTCTTTTAATTTTTGAATTAACTTATGTAACAACTCTGGCCAAATACAAATTATTAAACATTATTTCAATCTGTTAATTCTCAAGAAAATATAACAAATATTTCAATAAAATTTTATTTAAAGTATCTGTACTAATGTGTATAAATATAGTAACATAAAGTATCTTAATGTGATGTTGGATGCCCGAGCACAATCAGTGATTTACAGTTTTTAGTTTTACGACTTTTCTTAGAATTGAAAATTTAAGTTTTGTAACCAAATTTTAATGAATTAATTCAAACTAATTTAATTTGTTTCATTTCAGTTTTATTTTTATTTAAAACAATTATTTTTATTTAATAAGAAAAATATTAAAGGTGATTCATTTTTCTATAATAGCATTTTCTTATAAAGCTCAAAATCAACAAATTTCCAATAAAAAAAAATTGGTCAATAATTTCACAAAATGTTTAATTTCAAACTTTTACTTATAAAAAACTGAAACTAAAATCTATGAATTACTGATAAAGCTCGGGTATCCAATGTCACATTTTTTAAGAAATTTTATGTGACTATTTTTATACTGTAAGGAAAAGGGTTAATAATAGCATGTATCGGTCGGTTCGATGAGCACGCCCGCGAGGGAAGCACCAACCAGCTGGCATGGATATTTTAGAATGCGCACATGTATGCTATGGAGGAGAGAGCGTTCGATCGTGTCAATCGGCTTGCGATCCTGCAACGAGCAAGTTGTTTCAACTAACGTGACAACGAGATACCTTTAGATGTGAGGAACGAACGAAGGTTCAAGGAGCTATTGAGTAAAGGACGATAGGCACAGATAAGCCCTACTTCATCATCCTCTTAATAAATTACCTAGCATAGTGGTGTGTTTCCGTAGACTAGATGACGAGAAGTGATCCGCTCCGTGATACAAGTAGGCTGGCCAACACTCGCGTTCATTATATGCGTGAATAGTTTGATTCTTTTTATTATTGCGAAGACGCGGCATTTGCGGAGCTGCAATAGCGAGCGGATGATTTCACAATAGATCGTCTGTCAGAGTGCATAGTTGCTACAGTACTTGGGGCCTAAAATAGCGGCGTCTATATTCGCCACACGTTAAGATGTTTTTCCAAACGTAGACTGGCGTTGTTGCATATAGAGATGGTAATTAGGTTGGAGAATAAATCAATCTCAAAGCGATTATCTCAATATTGAAATTCAGGATAATTTCACTGGCTAATTCATCCCTAATGCCATTCTGCGCACGATCGAATGTATTGTCTGGTGCTATGATATCGCGATTTTGAGGCGCCCTTCTAGTGAGTGAGCCGAGAGGTACCTCTCCTCGTACAGAGCAGCAGCGCACGGCGGCATCATCAAACGCAATCAAGAGGGAATCAGTACGAAGACGATTGCACCGTAATTATGAAGGTAAGGACACAGCGATGAAACTCGCGCCTTAACGTTTATCACGGCTACCCGCGCGGCCAAGCGTGCACAGCGCGCTAAACCATGTACACTGGTGCAGAATCATGCGCGTTACATAAAAGACAGCGTGCATCTATATTCAGCCTATGCCCATTAGCCCGACCGAAGAAAATAGCCAACCCTGTTATAATACGTAGTAGCACAGATAATTTAAATAAAATTTGGTCATTTTATTACTGTTGATGGGCAATGATGAAATTTAAATAACTTTTTTTTTACCATTAGGGAAAAATGTTTTTTTTTATGATTTATAACCCATTAACGACCATAGACGTCATTTTTTGGACATGTTTTTGATCGCAAAATTCATGTGTAAAGCGAAATATTAAATCGCTCCATGGTACCGTTCTTTATGTTTTTAGATATGTTTTTAGGTATGTTGAATACGAATCCGGGCTAAAAATTCAAAAAGTTTGCTTGCAAATTCAAATATTATCAGTTTTTACACAAAAAGGTAGTGAAAAATAAAAAAATTATATGTTCAATTTTTTTCTAGCATAAAATGCATCAATATCGAAATTACTCTTCAACCGTTGGTGCAAAAAATTGTTGACCTTTAAGGGAGTATGGTACGTACGTGGCTAGTTAGTTGAGAGAACTGGTCGACTTTCGTTTGACTCGTGTATGAGCGATCATAAATTTGGCAACGTTGCGTATATGCTCCGCTTAAATTACCGCGTGTTGTTTACCTTGTACGCTCTAACCTAAATTATATCTTGATCACGGTTAGATATAAGTGATCGTAAAAATGAGAAAAAAATTTAAAAATGGTTTTGAGGTACGAAGAGAGTTTCAAAAAAAGTTTGTCGAAAAAATTTCTTTTTACGATTATTCTTAATCGTAAATATCGGAAATATGATATAGGATACAGCAAAACTAGTCATGATTATAGACTCAATTTTTATGGTACAACGAAGGCTATAGAATTTTATGCCGCATTGAAACTTACATGAAATAATGATATTTTAACTACTAATAATGTTGAAGTAGCGTTATAATTACCAATAATGATTGTAGTGCGATATCCGCAATACGCAACTTACTTTATTATGAAATAATAATGTAAGTAGATAAAAATCATACTAGCAAAGGAGTTACTATTGCGTTATATAAGGTAGAGGAAAAATTCAAAAACCTGATATCTGAGAGCGTTTAATATTTACAAAAATGTTTCAATTATTGCATTTCACAAAATATTAATGAGCCTGAACGGATGGCTGATGCTTTGTGAAATATATCGTACCACACCTTCAGTTTGCATCGAAATTACAGTTCTTGGTGCCAAATCAAAGAAAATTCTTGCAGATAGGCATAAAATAATTGGTAAAAGTTTTAAAGATCGTCAGCTTTTTGGTTGATTGGAAGAGAATTTAGCAGATAAAGCTGTGCAGTATTCGGTAGGTGCGTTTACTAACTCCAATGAGGGTATGAACGCCTGAATAGTCATTAAAACTGCGAAAATAGGTTTTATAGCACATGTGAAGGTTATGTGCGACTCTGCAGAGAAATGAAGGCGAAACATATGTATATAATCTAAACGTGAAAGTACACTTCCCCAGGCACATATAATGATAAATATCTAGCCATAGAAGATATCCTGCGGCATAGACATTTGAATTTAAGAAGCGGATGTTATTTTTAAGAAAAAGAAAATTAGAGTTGAAAAAAACCGCGCTTATTAAACATATAA